TATAATGTCTTGTAAAATATTAAATTGTGAGTTGTAGATAAACTGTGTTAATCTCTTAATAAAGAGTCTTAATATGAACAGTGGACTATTTTCTTTTTTAATTTAAATTGTTACTCAAAGCCAGGAAGTGCTCTAGAAGATGGGAACGAAACAGAACCACAGGCACACAGTTATGACAACAAATTACAAAAAATATTTGTAATATTTATCAATGAACAAGACAAGCCTTTGCAGTAACGGAAGATTGTAGATTGCAGATGTGAAACAAATGCAACTAAGCTTTACTTCTTACTTCTGCCAATATTGAAATAAAAAAAAAATCAAGTCAACCAGTTATCTGCTTAACTCTGCAAAAGTAATTCAATTAGAAATCCCATTTTACAGAATATAAAACTTCAAAGGCAGTATGAATAACATTTCTTACACCAAATGAAGCTTGAGCTGTGTTCTCTTAATTGCTTTTCTAAAAGCTGTACATTAGACTGACTGTAAACACATTCTATACACTACATTTCTTGTAGGCCAAATTATTTCTATCAGAAAAGCTGTAACCAGATGTAAGCAACTTGCTTTGAAAAGCAACAAAAACACCATAATAGCAACACATCTGAAATATATCCATATTCTTTATTGTAGATTAGAACGAACAGTACTTGACCACACAGAGTACATCATTTTGGCTACAGTGGTGGAGCTTACACAGTGCTTGCTAAAAGCTCACAATGTAACATTAATTACACTGTTATTCTACTAAACTGCAAAATACAACATATGTGAGAGGAACTCTACAACTCCAACAACTGATGTGTCTTCAGATGTGAAAGTCATGCTCCACACACCAGGAAGTGCTGCAGTTGCCTAAGCCACTAGATGGAGCACTGTCGGTCAGTATTTGCTACTCATTTTTATAAAACAAATACAACTGCTTGGCAGTGGTGTTGGACATTACTGTCTACCATTCGAAGTAAAATGTAGACTTTTCACTCTGGTGTTTTTTGCTGTTAGAGGTACACAGATGTGTGAGCTGGGCAAGAGTAAGAAATGAGGTTGCCTTTTCATTTGTATTGAGGCACTCTTTTCACTGCATGCGATGTACAAACATGCCTGTGAAATGTATCCATGTTTAGTCATACAACAGTGTCAGTGGCATAGTAAGTTCCCCGGTAGTGAGCTTGAATGGCTGATGAGGTTTTATCTTGTTTCTGCAGCACGCTAAAGCTTGATGTCGCTGAGAGAAGTCGTACACTTTTAATGCTGAGGCACGTTGCTGAATCTACTTGTCAATAAATGTAATGAAAGCATGACCACACGAACAGTGCAGCAGAGCAATTCCAATCTGAGGCCGGCACAGTCTCAAAACAGCCTTTTTGCTCATTTGTCATTTGTTTCAGCAAACATAACTGTAAATTATTTGGCAAGTTGATTGAAAAACCAAAAATGTTTAAACAGTTTTAAGATGAAAAGAGTTGATTACAACCAAAGTGCAAATAGGCTTCTGCGTCAAAGTAAAGCTGGTTCACTCACAGTAACTTGCATCTGCAGTTTTCCTCTCAGCACTACTCAGCATTTTTGTAAGTGTGCCAGATTTTGCCCTAGAGGAATCAATTCAGCCCCTGCCGACTCCCTGAGCAGTGGATCATTAAAAGTTAGCAGAAGGTAAATTCTGTACATCGCTGAAGATGTCCTATGTTCTGTGTGCTGAAGTCTGTTGAAAGAAATGTGAGTGCAAATAGATTATTCTCTTAAATTTTCTACACACTAAAGAACTCACACAAAACTAATCAGATTTAAAAACACTTTCACTCTGAGCATTTTGCTTTGAAGCCTATTTAAAAATATAAACTAAGAGGTATACTTGCAAAATATACAATTCACTAACCACGAAGCTAATGGTACAAGATGTATAAATACCAGGAAATACAAACTTACTGCACCACGATTACCTTAGCTCAAACACTATGGGACTTTCTCTTTGGAGTAGAAAGCTTGTCCGCTTGTTAGGATGATGAGTGGCTGTTTACTCTGCAGTGTTGAAACAGGGTCTCTATAGCAGCACTTGTAGTTTTGAACATGCTCATGAAATGGGACGTGTCTCCGCTCCCTCAAGCAGATGTGAGGCAGTCTTCCCCCTTTAGATTAATTTTATGTGCACTTAGAAATCCCCGGTACAGCTTTTATTTCAGTAAACGGTGGTTTTGGTTTGCTGTTTAAAGTCTTTTAGGGCGCTGTCTTTTTGCTTGTAAAATCGATGAGGTTAACATGAGGTGATATCATTAGTGAATTCCTTTTCAAACATATGAGTCACTGTAGCTGGCATCCTCTGCAGTCGTCCTCTGGCTCAGTGTTGTCCGACGAGTAGGAGCTCTCCTCGCTCACTGTAAAAAGGAAAACAGTGATATTAGGGGCAGTAATGGCGCACTGAAGACACACACAGAAGCAGCACTTGCACCACTCAAAACTGATACTACTAGGGATGTAACGATATCAAAATCTCACGGTACAATATTTATTGCGATATTTTGAAGAGGCTAATATAATTGTAGATGGGACACTTTTTTGCTTTTAAAATACCTTGACAAGATTTTGGTGTGAATTATTACCTTCAAAATCCCAAGAATTCAAGTAAAAAAACATATTTCTTCATATTGTCTGAACTGAAATGAATCATGGGATATGTAGTTCCCTATGTTTATAAGCTGTTGCTACTATAAAACAATGCATTTAAACAAAGGAACTTGTGATTCGATGATATTATTGTGAGACTTTTGATGATACAATAACATATTTTGGTTATTGTTACATCCCTAGATGCTACACATCTATGTATATGATGTTCCAGGATCAGTATTTTTGACAGATAAAGGGGAGTAAACAATGTCATTAATCATCATGTGTACTTCAAAATGAAAAAAAAATGTATCAAGTATCAATCTATGGTAATTTATTTGATAACTATGTACAGGTTTAAAGTAAATAAAGTTGTAAAAATCCAAGATTACTAAGATATTGTTGTACATGAACTAATTGTGCTTACCCATATTTAGTTTGATCTTTTTTTCTCATAAAACACATTTTCTTTTATTGTAACTGAACTTATTTAGATGAAACTGCATGTAAGAGGAAGGCTGTATGTAAAAAAGGTTCTTTCTGGGCTTGGTCTTGGAAAAAACAGTAATAGCAAAGACAGATGACTTACGCCACTCAGTCTGGATGGGTAGGAAAGCCTTGTCCCCATTCTCTCTGATCATCTCCTCGATTTTATCCAGCAGCACTGCCACACTGCGGTCCTTGCCTGGCGTCTTACTGTCCAGCACGTGGTAATAGTTGCCACAGTACTCTAGGAGGCGCTGCAGTTCCCGTCCACCTCGCAGGATGTGCTCTTCTATAGGCGTGCGTCCCAGCCAGTCCCCACAGCTGAACAGAACCATGGTGTGCAGGCAGGCCCCCTCCCCAAACAGAGTGTCTATGTGGGCCAGGAGGGTGCGTCTCTTCCGGGCTGTGAGGGATGAGACCACGGGCAGGACCAGCAGCAGCGTGTGGGGCCCAGGCCGGAGCAGGGCCGCCCCTCGCTGGGACTCCTGACGGATACGCTTAGGGGTCCGTCTCACAGAGAACCAGTCCCACCCCGGGGTGTCTACTATAGTCACACGGCGTCCAAACACAAGGGCCTGTCTGCGGAGGCAAAGCTCTGTCTCCTGTCCCGACTCAAAGTAGCGGCGTCCGAGGATGGAGTTCCCCACTGAGCTCTTGCCCACACCTTTCCAACCCAACAACAGCAGCCGCAGCTCTGTAAAACAAAGGGAGGGCATCTTAACTTGAATTATAGTGTGCAAAATAACAGGCAATAGGGAAAATCTATGAAGAAAGAATATTTATCGTAAATAGTGTACCCTGCCTCAGTAAAGTAGATTGCACAGTGTCAGTATTATTTCATTTCATTTCATTTCCATAAAGTTACATCATACAAAACTTAATTCCTTTATTTAGACGTATATTCTAGTTTGGGTGCACACATTTGAGTTAATATAGGTCTGAATTATTTACTTACACTTATACTTACAATACTTACACTAACGACAAACAAAGGAGGAGCACCATTCAGTTTATTTTACTAAGTTTTTTTGTTTAGCTTGCTTTAAGGTCCCGTTATTATCACTTATTTTCTGTATTATACTTGTTTGCCTTTTTGTTGTTGATTAAGTTAGTAGTTTTAGTTCATTATTTAGTGTAATTCTCCGCTCGTGTTCAGTTCTAGTTGGTCCTCAGGTATTTAAACACCCCTGTTCTTTGTCTGGTTGGGTTAGTTTTGTTCTGTTCAGTTTAAGTAACCCCAGTTTGGGCCTGGCTTTTGTTGTTCATGATTTACCAAATTTGAGCCTTTGTTAAATTACATCTTTTTTTGAATTTATTAAATGTAAAATATTTTTTATACCTTGTCTTTGCCTTTTTGTTTGGTCCACTACAGATACTAAGATAGGTCTCACTAAGTCTTAGTGAATGTAAATTACTAAAACACAGTGAAAAATGCTGTAGTAGTAGTTCATTTTTTGAAGTCATTAATAAAAGCTCTCAAAACTATTACGTAGCCTGTCTCTATGTATCTAACCCGGACTGCACTCACAAAACTACACCTGCACAAACAACAAGTTCATGCAAAAACAGCTATTTATTTAAACTTGTGAATCATGAGTTTAATATACTTTTTACATATAAATACAAAAAGAAAATACCAAACTTTCAATTAACTCACAAACTTTCCTTTCTGCTATTGTCTCTCATAAATCCTTATAATGTATATAAACGTATTAGATGACTAATATCCAATTTGGTTGACATCATGAGCCAATTGATAAATCTAAAGCCCTAAACATTTCTCATAAAGCAACAGTAATGGCCATAGGAAATTAGATTGAAGGGAAATCATGTATTAATGTCCAACCTTAATGAGAAATAATCCGAAGTCATGAAGTTATTACAGCAAAGAGCATATTTGATTACATTACTGACAAAACATTTCAGTGCAGCTTTGCTTTGGCTGTTTGCAATCTATTCTCCAAACCTCTACAGCGCCATCATAAACCACTGATTTCTCCTGAGAACTGTGAAACTGGTGAAGCAGAGCTACTCAGTGCAATAAGGCTGCTCTGATTGTGTAGCATGATAAGGTCGTTTCCATAGAGTTGTTTTGATGGCAGCTGTGTGACTGTCTCCGTTCGTGACTGCGTGACTCACAGCCCCATTAGCCCGCCTACCTCGGGGTGGTCCTCCAATCATCTGCTCCCTCTGCCGAGCATGCTCCTCCATCCTCATCCTCTCCTCCTCCAGAGCTCTCCGGGCCTGCTCTTCTTCCAGTAAAATCAATTCGTTCACTTCGAAGTACCAGCCTGCACCAAAGACGAATCAATACCAGTCATATAACTTTTACAGTACAGATCATACAGTTGTAATGAGCCTAACAGTGAAATGGAAAAGTACTTTGAGTCTACCTTGGTTGTCCGTGATCATCTCCTCTACTTTTTCCATCAGCTCTGGCACTTGTGTGTTGTCCTCTGTGTTCTTACGGGTGTTATCAAAAGCATGATATCTACAAAAATAGTACATCAACAAGTAACACAAAATGAAGGACTGCATTATTAAAGGAGCACTATGTTCCTTTTCTGGTGGGGGATCAGCCACCTGTTTGTGCCCATGGAAATTTTTGTGCTTTGCGTGGAATGATCCGCAGAATGACATTAAACTTAGTTACAAGTTACAAGTCAGATCTGTGAAAAAATGACCCTGTTCACAGTAATGTTTTTCAATGTTATTTTAGCAAAAAAACACCTGCCATTTAGGGCTGGGCGATAAGGGGCAAAAAATAAAATCTAGATTTGTTTGTACACTGTTAAAAAAGGCCTTGGATCCTTGGGTGCTTCTGCATGGAGACTAAAATTACGTGCAGTAGCCAAGCAGAACTCTGGCTTCCCCTATGTGGCCCCGTCTTGCAGGGCTGGGGCCAGGTATCAGGGTTCAATGAGCCGGACTGCAAGCAGACAGACTGCACTGAAGAGTGCTCTTGTTTTGTGTGTTTAGTCATGACCCAGTTTGGGCTATTTTTCACCTTTAAAACCACACATATACTTCTGCCAATACTGTGAATGCATAATAAATCACACTATTAAGACATCTGGCTGATTCTTTCGAGGGCACCCTGCAGCGGGTCAATACAGACAGCACCCCCCCAAGTATATTTTTCACACACATTGGATGATAGCAATGACTGCTAGTGTTTCAAACACGGGACAGTGTTTACATTTTCACTCTTACCATATCCTATAGTTTAAAAAAATAGGAAAGCAATCTAATTTTAATAGTATACATCTGAATGAGATTTTTTGCACCATAATCCTGCTTTACAAGTAAGAAAATCAAGAGTAAATCTGCTTCATAATAATCCACAATTTCAGTATTGCTAATATGTAACATTATCTACAAGAAAAAGAAGACGCTATGTCACTGTTGTGGATGTTTCAAACAGAAATAACAAGGACATAGCAGGTGCACACTCATTCATGATCAAAGTGAAGTAGCCCGGCTTCACTGTCCCTTAAAAGCTCTGGCTACCTAGAACAATATGTACCGGACCAAGTCTGACTCTGACTCTGTTTTCTTGTTGTCTCTCTGCCAATAATGCCTAATCTAACAACTGAATATACAGTCAAAATATAGTCTAAAAGTAAACAAATAAAAATAAGTAAAATATATAATTAATATTTATTGGGATGATAATTCATTTTGGTGTGTTTTTGCTCACCTGCTCCCACATCTCTCCACCAGCCACTGCAGGGCCTCCCCAGTGTTGGCTATGTGCTCCTCGATGAAGACTCCTTTGGGCAGCTTGTCCACACAGGTAAAGACCACCATGGAGTAGCGCCATGTGCCTCCTCCCAGAGCCCCAAGCTGCTCCTCCGCTGCCCTCCGGTGCACATCTGTGAAAGGCTGGGCCACAGACACCACCAGCAGGATGGCATGGGGCCCGGGGGGACACAGGATCGCCCCCATACTCGGCCCCTCACTGTCCAGGCTGGGAGGGGGTCTCCTGGGACTGTCCGATTCAGCGCCTGCGTTATCATTGTCATCTGTCTCTGTGTCCTCATCTTCCTCCTCTTCTTCCTCTTCTACATCTCTGGGAATGGCCCAAGCAGGAGTGTCTACCACAGTGACGCGCCGGCCGTAGATCTCGGTCTGGCCCACGTTACTGTGTGTAGTCTCCACACCAGCGTCGAAGGCCTCCTCCCCTAAGATGGTGTTGGCAGTGGTGGTTTTTCCCGACCGAGGCCCCCCGAGAATCAGCAGGCGGCGCTCAGGTGGATGCCGCCCTCGGGATTCTATAATTAGAGCACAGCACATGCAGTTATTCTACCTGTGTAAAAGATCTATAGGGATGAACTCACACATTTAAGTCCGTAAAAAGATGTCCATAATGATCAGTGACAGATGTAGTGTGAAAGTACAATTTTTACATTCACTTAAATGTACATGTTTTTATCTTTCCCATATCAAATCTTATTGCTCTAGTGTACTGAGTGTCGTTTTTGGCTTAACATTAGCACTTATGTATATGACCATTCTGAATCTTGCAGCGTATCATGACCTTAGCCTTTGATTGAAAAAATAGAAAGAGAAATCTCAGACCATCTGCTAAAATGTTGTATGAACAAATGATCAAAACATATTATAGATTCATCTAAGGAGAAGAGTTTGAAATGAAAGTCAAAGCACGGAAACAGTGTGAGCAGCATGAATGACATAATGAGTAAACATGGGGAGGAGCAGGAAGTTTTATTGATTTCTCCCACACGCTACAGCTGCTGACACTTGTCCATGTGAGCTGCCACACAGGAAGTGGACCTCAGCAGCAACAGTTTAGAGCTGAGCCCTGAACCTGGCTCCTCACTGCACAGATGGTGGGGATACAGGACCTGCGGCAGCCAGAGCAACAGAGTAATAACAGCCACTCACCAGTGTCAGAAGCAGAGGACACAGCAGCCATCTTGTGTGTCGAACCTCTGGCTTCATCCTCCTCGGCCCCCCTCCTCCTTCTCCTTCTGGGCTCCACGGTGGCGTGCTGCTGTGCCTCTTCACAAAGGGGACTGCGAGGATCCGGAGGGGAGCGGGGAAGGATGGCAGCTCATGTGCGTCTTGGCCCTGGCTCTCATTCTACTGCAGTGTATTTCCGTCTGTGTTTCCTCTTCTGCACCCCTTTCTCTCCTCATACCACTGCCACTCAACCTTTCTCCCTCTCCGCTCCAGCCCACACACCTCCTCAGCAGCTACAGCTGTCCACAGAAAGTCCTCTCCTCCTCTTGACTCTGTCCTTCAGTGTTGCCTATTTCATCTCTGTGGGTGAAGAAAGAAAGACAAATCAGCCCTTGAAAAATGAATAATTTCACAAGGAAAAAATCTTCTTCCTACTTACTTATGTGTAGGAGCAGCTCCAGCAGCAGAGGCAGCAGCAGCAGCAGCAGCAGCAGCAGTGTGGCACTGTATGCAGACTGCAGTGAGGACAGAAGGATGGATAGACAGAGAGGGAGGAGAGAGAGAGAGAGAGAGAGAGGGCACTGTGCTCTGTTTACAGCGGAATATATTCCCCAGCTGCAACGCCGTGTACTAGATATAGATATACAGTCTATGACACTAACACACCTATTAATGTGATACCTGCAGACAGGAGCTCAGCATGAATACATGTAAATAATGACACAGGACTAAACAAATACAGCTAAAAACATTAAAAAAAAAATACTTCTAAAACTATGCACTATAATGATACAAGTGTCATCAGAGTATAATCTGAAGGATAATGATAACGCTAGCAAAATGTACAGAGTAGCTACAACAAGTGACATTAAACGTGTCTTATTTGTCGAGTATTTGCTGTGTATCTTTGCGGTATATCTGGGTTAATTGTACAGAAATATTTTGTAAAAATTCACAACAATATGGTTATACATTTTGGGCATGTTACGGAATATTTATGGGTAAAAAACAAAGTTCCGCGCAAGAGAAAAATAAAAACAGGAATTTCTTATAGCCATTACGTAACAGCTGCCGTACACCGTCATATATGTCGTAAATATTTCATGCTGTAAATTAGTGCCGTAAAAACCCTGCAGATGCTCCATGTGAACTTGGAGCCAAAGTAAAAGCCACCTCAGACGGCTTCTTGTGCAGCGTGTGTGCGTGTGTCAGCGTGTCTGTCTTGTAGGTGCTTGCAAAAAGAGAAAAACAGCCATCTTTCAAACATGGAAGACGATTTTATGAAGTATCGTTCCCCGCTGGTCTCAAGATATGCAAGCAAAGAAATGGCCTACAACTTCAGTGATAGGAAGAAGTTCACTACCTGGAGGAAGCTGTGGATTTGCCTGGCTAAAGCTGAGAAGGTTTGACATCAGATTATCCGTTTATGACTTCACGTTTCAAAATATAGTTTTAAGTTTTTCTAACATAAACACTTTCTGACCTTGAAGTTACACCAAGTTCCTAATCTAAATATAGAGGAGGACCCCAGACAGCAATTGCATATTTGCCAGGTCATAAGTGTGTAGTGCCCATAGCAGTCATACATGAAAGGTCTATTAAACAGAGTTCCCACGGTCATGGAAATCCTGGAAAAATGGAGATTTGTAAATTCAGTGAAAATTTTGGAAAAGTCATGGAATTTCATGCAACTATAGCGTTCTGTTGAATTATCATTAGGCTATTATGATTATTTCTGAACGTATGCGCCTTCTGTTTAAAAGAGACGACAATAAATAAACTGACAGTATTTTGAATATTAAAAAACTATAATACCAAACCATACGATGAGTGGAAAGGGTTAACATTTCATATTTAGCCCCAAAACTATGATCAGTTCTTCACATGTAGGTGCTGTAAAGTCATTGAAAATTAATTTTAGGTCATGAAAAAGTAAAAAAAAAATAAAATAAATTGAAATGTTGTCAGTGCAAACAAGTGGGAACCCTGATTACAGAAATTCAATTAAAAGTCAACAATAATATTGTGATATATTAATATGAAAAGTTTCTGGACATCAGATTGTAAGATCCATCTGTGCTTCATATGACTGTACAGATTGTACTCATTGTGATGAGACATAACTACTTTGATCCACACTGCATTGTTTCATCATAGAGATGTAATTAAAATAGACAGAACTACACAACCGTTAATCCTCAATTACAGTTTAACATAAAAAAAAAAAAAAAAAAAAAACTTTTACAATTTAGAATCTTTTAATTACAATAATTATATTGATGCACAGGCAATCCTTTTGATCATTGTGCAGTATTTGGAGTAAAAATGTATTTGTTACTTAAATCTAATCTAATTTTCAAACGCTTACTTTAGTAGACTTTGTGGTTACTTTATGGTGGTACAAAAAAGCAAAAAGTTTTTTCTACTTGTTTATAGACTATGGGGGAGAAAATTTGACTACTGAAGGCCACTACAGTCTCCTATGTCAAGGAAAAGGATCTGTGCTATATTTCAAAACCATGGTATTTTGGTTATGAACAATATTTTACTGTCAAATATTAAAGTAACTGAAATGCATAGTAACTTTAACCAACTGAAGGAAGTAATGTGTGTCACAGTGTTGACCTGACAGAATATAAGATTAACTAAACTAAAGCCAACCCCACACGTCTATCTCATGTGAACTCTGTTAACAATATTTGACCTAATTAGTCTTATTCTTTGTGGCCACTTATTGGAGACTGGACCCATCTTTGCAGCAGCACACATTCTATTTAGGTCAACGGCTGGTAGTGTGAGGTTTGTGTGAGAAAATAGCATGCAGAAAATGTCACAGTAACAGGAGACTGCCTCTAGAGACTACTCCCCTGTGTGTAGTAGTGCGACATCCACGTGTGCTCTATAGATTTTTGAAACCTCTATCTTTTAGTCACTCCCATCTGTGACCTTTGACATCGCACTGTTTGACATCATGTGATTTTTAAATGTTTTGCAACTGTGGACAGAGGTTCTGTCAGGCCTGAGTATGTCACATGATGTTCTTTTCCCAATGGAGCACTAACTGAATCATGATAATTGTTTTCTCATGGGATGTGCACACACTTAACGGCAAGGAACTACAAAATGCATCAACATTTGTCTTCAGTCACGTGATCTATCATATCCCTAACCCTAACCCAAATATACCATACACTTCCAGTAAACAATATTCTTAAACAAACAAACAAAAGTGCTATTTAGAGTACTTAATAAGTCATTGAACTCAACCCTCTGCAGTAGTGGATCTAATATTTACTGAGCCCTAGTTGCAGCTTTCAAATATTGATGGGAAATCAGTATATTAGCATTTTTCCCACAGATCTTCAAAATATATTTTTAAACATCATCAGGGTAATTCTAAAAATATATATATTATTATTTGTCAATATTGCCCTCTTTTTATATTATGATCATTTTAATATCATATGTCTGTGTAGGGCAATATAATCATTATTTTAACTGTCCTTAAAACAACAGTTGTGATCCATCCATTAGGGATGTAACAATAACCAAAATATCATGATATCGTATTGTCAGAACTCTCACAATAATATCGTGGTCCATCACAATATATTGAATTGCAAGGTTTTTCTCTTAAAAGTATTAAAAAAGAGGGAACTGCATAGGCCATGATTCATTACTTACTTTACTACATAGTAAAATAACTGTTATTAAGCACTTTTAAATCTTATTTCTTTGGAATATGGCAGTAATAATTCACACTGAAGACTCGTCAAGGTATTTAAAAAGGAAAAAAAATTACATATGTACAATTCTGTTAACCTCTCCAAAATATCGTACCATGAGATTTGAATATCGTTACATCCCTACCACCCATACATTTCTAAATGTTTTGATATAATTCCTACCTCCAGCTGTAACCATGTTAGGATAAATATTTATAATGCGATATATATTTTTGCTTCCTTCTTTTGTTTAGGCTTTAGGTTTACCCATTACAGATGCTCAGATCCAGGAGATGGAGAGTCATGTGGAGGACATAGATTTTGCCATGGCTGCAGACGAGGAACGCAAGCTGAGACACGACGTCATGGCTCACGTGCACACTTTCGCTCACTGCTGCCCGTCCGCTGCACCCATCATCCACCTGGGGGCGACGTCCTGCTACGTGGGGGACAACACGGTAACTAATGAGTACTTCCTCCTCATGTCCATCTGTGGCGACAGACACTCTAGGGAGCATGGCTGTGATGTTAAAATGTAACATAGGGGAGAAATGACCCATAACATTGAAGTTTTTGTTGTGTTAATTAGGTTTAAATTCAATATTATCTACAATTGGTAGGTTATTAATTAAATAGCCCTAAAAGTTTATACAAAAATATTACAATGGGGCAAATCCATACTATACATACATACTATGTTGCAATCTGGAAAGTTTTTTGTTTTTTTGTATGTAATATTTCTATATACCTCTATAGAATTTGAGCTCAATTTTGTAGAGGTTTGATAAAGTTTGGTACTTATTTTGGAAACACATGTTTACATTTTGATAAACAAGGGTCTTTCTCAAAATTTTCCCACAAAGAAGCAACATATTTTGCAGTTTCTAAAAATACTAACTAAAATAAACTCTAAAAAAAAAATCAACAAAACTACATATCAATACCTAAAATGATCCCACTCCAAGTATTACTTTGATAGTAACTAAGATGAATTCTAGTTTTTGAGCTTATTATTTCCTTTTTTTGTCTCTGCCCCTCAGGACCTGATTATGCTGCGGGATGGCTTTGACATTCTGCTGCCTAAGGTGAGGCTCAGCTGTGTTATAATAAAAAAAAAACACCCTCTGCTCTGCGTGAACACTGAAAAACGCCTACTTCAATGTCAGCTGTTTATTATCAAGCCATCTGAGTAGAAATAATCATATGTTTATCTTCCAAGCAAGTTCATTTCCCTTGACACAGAACGGCCATGTCATGTGTACGTGGGCACATCTGGAGCTTTATGTAATGATAAACCGTCTGCTCCTTTGTCCACAGCTGGCCAGAGTTATCGACCGGCTGGCGAACTTTGCAGAAAAAAATGCTGATCTCCCAACGCTGGGGTTCACACACTACCAGTGAGTCTGCTCCTCTGTGGACATAAATCACAGGCCTTAGACACCTCCTTTAAACTGCCCTAACGCTGGTTCATTATGGGCCAGTTAGACACAATAACTTCTGCTTGGTTAAGTGTTTTCTTTCTTATGTGTGGTGCAATAGGCCAGCTCAGCTCACTACGGTGGGGAAGCGGGCGTGTTTGTGGCTGCAGGACCTGGCCATGGATATGCGCAATCTACAGCGAGCTCGCAATGATCTGAGGTTCAGAGGAGTCAAGGGGACCACCGGGACCCAGGCCAGCTTCCTGCAGCTCTTTCAGGGAGACCATGACAAGGTGGAGTTAGGCAAAGAAAAAATGAAAAAATGCAGTTATGACAAGATAAAATTGAAGATTGTGAACAGATGTGGAAAATGATATTGTAAAATTGTTTTCACATGGATTTAGAAAAAAAGGCCCAGAATCACAAAATAAATGAATAAATCTGAAATTATGTGGCTAAAATTACAAATTGAAATGCACAATACAAAAAATATTACAATGGGGCAAATACATACTGTGCGTACTACTTATTATGTTGTAATCTGGAAAGTTTTCCGATTTTTATATGTAATATTTCTATTGGTTTCTATAAAATTTGAGCTCAGTCATTTTTTTTAGAGGGTTGATGAAGGCTGGTACTTATTTTAGAAACACATGCTTACATTTTGAAAAACAAGGGTCTTTCTCAAAATCTTTCCACAAAGAAGCAACATATTTTGCAGTTTAAAAAAATATTTATTTATTATAAATTATGTACAACCTCGACAAGAAAATTGTAATAAGCATGATCAAAGCAAACCATGGATCTGCCTGCATTATGTACCAAAGCAGTCAATGCAACTGCGTCAATCCCCACTATTTTTACATTTCTGTAGTATCTTTGTGTGTAAATTTTATAGTACGTGGCAAAGCAGTACAGTTTGACAACTAATTTGGAACTGATTAACATGGGTTTGGACATTTATATATATAATTATGAATTTTTACATTTGCCATTTTCTTCAAATTTTATGTCATAAATGATTTTACCACAACTTTTTCTGTGGATCAGGTAGAAGAACTGGACAGAATGGTCACCGAGATGGCTGGTTTTAAAAAGTAAGTAGTGGTGTCTTTTTTTGTTTTAAATATTACTCAGAAAAATATCTCTCAAACTTCTTGTTATTTTGTCTAGATCTTACCTGGTGACTGGACAAACATACAGCCGCAAGGTGGACATCGACTGCCTCTCTTGTTTGGCCAGTATGGGAGCCACTGTGCACAAGGTGAAGTCCACAAAATGATAATGTCTCCATCTAGTGTCTAGAATGATTACATGCTTGAATATTTTGTTAATCTGTCAACAGATTTGCACAGACATCCGCCTCCTCGCTAACCTGAAGGAGATCGAAGAGCCCTTTGAGAAAGAACAGATAGGTATGTATAAACTCAGAAGAAGACCACGAATGTACATGTTGATTACACTTCAGTATAACATTTGTACTGCTTTTCAAATAATTAAAGGTGGATTATGTAGCTTTTATGGTGAGGTGTTTTGCCAAGATGTTTTTGCTTTGCCTGTAATGTTCCACAGTAAAGCATTAATTTAATTTGGTTTGCATTTGTTCCATTACAGATGTTTTTATTTTATTATAGACTACAATAATATAATTAATATGAGCGAGGTTGCCTCTCCACTGATCTGACCTGTAACTTCGCCTACCTGCTTGTCTGTATGGAAAGAGATATGTTTAATTCCTTACTATGGAGTATTCCAGGCAAAACGATAACATCTCAGCTGTAAAGTCCCCCTGAATTGTACCCTTTATGAAAATTTGTTAATCTATATACATATAAAGAAAAACCTCAGAAACTGTGTTCTCAATAAATATGCCACAACTATTTCAGGATTTTATCTCACATATTTCAATTAAATACATAGTTAAAACCTTCCTGAAAGTGATTCTGAATGATTTTTGAACAAATTCTGCAACCTTTTGAGTTTCTTGTGTTGCGCTGCTTACAAATTATGTTCATGGCAAGCGGGTAAGAAAATAGTTAATATTTCTTCCCAAATCAACAGTTACAGAGGCCGTAGGACATGGGGAACAAGAAAAAAAAAAGTAAAATATGAGACAAACAAGGCCTGACATTTGGTCTCGCTACATTTACATTTAATTTTATTATGATATAGAATGCTGATTTTTTAACTCAATAAATCACAGTTACCCGTGTGCCACCCAAGAGAAGGGGGCACCTGCGGGGAGGAGGGGGATGTTTTTGCCGAGGGAATGGGACCCTCGAGCTGGGATTTTCAAACCAGGGGGACGCTCGAGCCTGTATTCAGAGACAAGCAGGCAGCAGACTATCCACCAGAAAAGTTACATAGTGCAGCTTTAATCATACTAAACCTTTACTTGTTTAGTGTAACAAGCCACAAAACACACCTGCTACGCTCTTTTAAATTTCTCAGACAAATACAGTTTATATCTTGAGTTTTAAGCAATTAGGCCATACAGCAGGTGCGATAAAACTACTGGATTAATAATGGCAAAAAGTAGGTCTTTGCCCAAATTTAGCCTGGTAGAAGAAAACCACCAACCATGATTGAATACCTAGTCTATCCAAGTTTCAGGTCACCTTCTGCTGTGCGAGGTTTTTATTAGGCTCCACAGTCCCGTATAACAAATAGTCATGCTTCAAAACATATCTTACGTTCCCCCATTTAAAATAACAGCTGGGTTAAATACGTTTCTCTGTGCAGGTTCTAGTGCCATGCCTTATAAGAGGAATCCCATGAGGGCAGAGCGTTGCTGTAGCTTGGCCCGTCACCTGGTGGCGCTCATGGCTGACCCCCTGCAGACCGCCTCAGTGCAGTGGCTGGAGAGGACTCTGGATGATAGTGCCAACAGGTCAGAAACTAGTACTAAACTAATCTAGCAGATGAATGTGTAATTATGAATAGAGCTTAACTATTTTGTCAGCAGCGCAATTTTATTATTAAATATATTTTGTACCAAGTAAAGAATGAAATATGGTAACTGAAGGCTTCTAGAAAGAGTAATAGTAGAAATAGTTTATTATTTTTTGACATTTTTATTTAATAATGCCATTGTTTTTGTTATAAAAGGCCTTTTGACATGTATAGATAATACTTACAGTCAGAATCAGAATCAGAAGCATAATATCTAAATAGTCACAACTATTCAGATTAATCATTGCAGCCCTGCCCTAGTGTATACATCATATTGGTAATCCCTGAATACAATCTCTAATTTTATCTGAATTGTCCAGACGGATCTCTCTGCCTGAGGCCTTCCTCACTGCAGACATCATTCTGAGCACCTTACAGAACATCACCGAGGGGCTGGTGGTCTACCCCAAAGTCATCGAGAGACACATCCGCCATGAGCTGCCCTTCATGGCCACAGAAAACCTCATAATGGCCATGGTGAAGGCCGGAGGAAACAGACAGGTATGAGACCCGGGTTTCAGTTTAGCAACAATTGAGTTTTATTTTGAGAACTTTAACAACGTCTGTGGTCTTCCATGAGCTGCATCTGTTGCATGTTGTTAAAATCATGTTTTTTCTGTCACAAACCTGACATGTTTTCAAGTCTTTTAGTAAAATTTTATGTATATTTTGCCAAGTCGTATTGTGCTGCATTAATTTAAAGGTGCTATATTACACAAAATTGTCTCTTGTGAGCTTTAAAACATGTTATAATGTTGTTACCTCCATAAAACATACCCTGAGTTGTGTTTTGTGTCATTCACACATGTTTGAGCAATCCTTTATTATTGGTCTGTCTCTAAAGCTCAAAATGCTCTGTTCCACCTTGTGATGTCATTTAGTAATAGTTTTCAAGTTAACAGCTACCTTTTACCTTCAGTTCAGTAGAGATTCGCAATACCAAGGCTGAAATCATTGAAAATATTCTGGTGAAGGTGTATGGAGTTTAAAATGTGTTTTTAAACTCACTTTCTGTATTGTCAATGACATCACAAGGTGGAAGTGTTTTCTGTCTGAGAAAATAACTGCCTAAATGTATGCAAGGTTTGTGTGAATGAAACAAAACACAACTCCAGGTCTGTTTGTGCATAAATTAGAAAACAGTGTCACATGGGCTCTTTAAGTGAAATGGCTATGTGCCGTCCAAGCCATTATTAAAAAAACAGAACAAACACAACTGTTTTTTTCAGTAGCTATTGGTGATCTAAATAAAAACAAAAACTAACAGGTTTATCACAATAATCACCATGTAGTGTAGTATAGAAGTTTTTTATCTTACTGATCACATTTAATGCTTGAAGTATTAACGCAAGCATGCTATATGGCATGATACAAAATATTTGTTAAACTGTTCATAATCCCATTGAGGCTGATGGTGGTAGTTTACTTTCTTTACAGGTAAGAATGTCATGCAAAAATGCCATTAGGCCGACCTACTGTCTTTAAATATGACGTAAAGAGGCAGAATAACAATAAATATAGCCTAAATAAACCCAATTTGAAATCGAACCTAAATTTTATAATCAGTTGAAGAGTTATAGTGAATGTTTACATCACTAAATATATCTGCTTTTATATTGGCTATCAGCACCTCCACCTTCTGCTTTATCGGTATCATATCAGCTGCAAATAATCCATATCAGTCAGGCCCTAATATATGCATACCTTTTAAAAAAATATATTCTTTGTTTTCAGCTGTTGTTTTCTGTTTAATTAACAGTAGTCTAAACCTTTCTCTCCTAAATCCTCTCTCTCCTCTCTGCTCAGGATTGCCACGAGAAGATTCGCGTCCTGTCCCAGCAGGCAGCAGCCGTGGTCAAACAGGAGGGAGGTGATAATGACCTGTTGGCCCGAGTCCAAGCTGACCCGTACTTCGCTCCGATCTTGGGACAGCTGGACTCTCTGCTGGACCCCAAGACCTTCATCGGCAGAGCCCCCCAGCAGGTACAACAGCCACAGCACCACATATTCACAGCTAGTCGTTCTCAGTCCCTCTGCTGCTGAGTATAAACTGTTGCCTGTCCTCCAGGTGGCCCGGTTTCTGTCTGAGGAAGTGCGCCCTCTGCTGGAGCCATACAAATCTAAAATGGATGTCAAGATTGAGCTGGAATTGTGATGTAAATTAACTTGAAACATGTAACTTTGACTTAGGCACTGGTATTAAATAAAATTTATAAAAATTGCAGTTTGTCCAGAAGTTTCTTCCATTTTGTTTTTTGTGTATAATTGTACTGGCACTAGGTTAATGCTTCTGTACTTTGTCCCTTCAAAGAAAGACTAAACTAAACAAACTAAAAAAAAACTAAACAAGCAATTTCTATTCAAATTTATCTCCTGAAATATCTTGAAAAGATATCTAACCAAAAACAATCCACCTTAAACAGACCGCACAAACAATAAAAGGGAAAGAATCAATTGGCAGTGGTTATCTGTTTTTTTTTTTTTTTTTTGATCATGGTCCCTCTAATAACTCACATCATATTTTGTGGTTTGCATTAAAATAACTTTAAAGGTCCAGAAATCAGATTCTAATCAGATTTTGGTGTGTATGAAATTGATCTGAAATGGACTTTGCTCTCAGAATGTATTAATTATTGAGTAATCGCTTTAATGCTCATTAGTGGTGTCTTAATCATTCAAACTGACCACAAATTATGGCATATCTTTTCAAAATATACATGAAACATCCAAGGAAAAAAACAAGAATTATTATTGTTTTTGGCTGGTTTTCAATTTGATTTTGTCTTATTAACCAAAAAGGCTTAATCATTGACACTAAAATTGTCAAGTTTCTGTCTCCAAAATCAATCAGCATGGTCCACGATATAATTATATTTGGCCCACGAGATCATATCAAGTATGTATTAGAGTTGGCCCGCTGGCTACTGATAGGCTATAGAAACATTATTTATTTAAATGTTGTTATTATTTAATATTATGCTTGTTCTGGGTTCAGTGTTTAAGCAAAACTATTATTAAACATTTATTTTATTTAAAAAAAATTTAACAATACATATCTGGAAATTTTTCAATAAATATTTAGTTTGGCCCACAACTTAGTCGCAGTTTTTCATTTTGGCCGTCTGTGAATTTGAGTTTGACTCCCCTGCATGAGACAATTTTAAAATCAAAATGTCTTATGTTAAGTTAACCAAGAGTTATACAAGAGCACACAGTCAGGTCAAAGTCCAACCCAACCCTTTTCACTATTTAAGCTGTAGAACATTCAACTGTAGTTGGTCACTGACATATTACACTCATTTTACCATTTTATTTCTATTCAGTTAAACCATACATTTATCCACATCTCATTTTTGAACAAGGTTTTAAAAGTCTTTGCATGATTTATATAAACCATGAGTCCACCGCTTCTGTTTTGGATGTGATCGGATGGAACGCTTCACTTTGGAAACCGTTGCTAAACAAAAGTAAGTCAAGTGTTCTTAAGTCCTTAATTAATTCACCAAATCAGTTCTGATCTGATTTTTTTAAATTTATTTTTTTATTATTATTATTATTTTAGGGGTCGATAGCAGGATTCTGACATGTGGTTGTGGGCACTGCTTCCTCTGAGTCTGGCCGTGTTTGGTATCTCTGGTATTTGGATAGTGTGAGTACTACTTATTCATCTAATTAAATCATGTCTTATTTATGGTTTGCTGTATTAAATGTACTAAATTATTGTAACATTTTAACATATCACTCTACGTATTTTCTATTCTCAAATAAAAACAGACATTAAAAACAAACAATGCCAAAATGTGCGTAATAAATTTACAAACCAGCCTAAGATTGAGTTAGAGTGAGGTGTTTTTGACTCCTTCTGAATTAATGATCCTTGCCTTTTGTTGTTGATTTGACAATCAGGTATGCGATATCAGTGTCAAATGGTACCATCAACATCACAGAAACATTCCCTTACATCAGGTTGGATTCTGTTTTTGCATTTGATCTTCTTTTATAAAGATGACTCACTTCTATTTTCTTTTTTACATTTGCAGTGAGTGTGGTGCTTATGCGCCTCAGAGCACCATCTTCTCTCAGTACTGCAACATCTGCACATTCCTGGGTAAGACTACTGTCCAGTTTATTTGTAATTCCACAAATTAAACTCAGACAAACTTTACTGAGCCACAAGGGAAATGATCTGGACACAGTAACTCACATGTCATAGTTTAATATAATACAGTAATAATATAATAAACAAGAGCAAAAAATGTAATCTGTGATAACACATTCAAAACAAGGAGCAAAAATAACAAGAGGCTGGTGTCAAATAAGGCATAATTATACAAATGCATTTGTAAGTAAAATAAAAAAATATAGAAATATAGTAATACAACATAGGTCTGGGCTATGTAGAATGTTGTAGAAGTTTCAGCTTGTCCAAGAAAGGGTGGAAGTAAACGCTGGAGACCAACTGGATGTCTTGCAGGAGAAGTTTATTTACCATCAATAATATGGGCCTGGAGGGACTTAAAAAGTCAACATAGTATGATTTCATAAGTGAACATTGTATGATCTTTGAGTGTTCAAGCCCCTTGACTATGCTTCCAAAGAAGGAGGTTTATAAAGCAAATGTGGTGAGACTATGAAGGCCAGTAGCACCGGTTAGACAGTAATATGCCACAATTGAGATAAAGGTATGTCAAAGGTGTGCCAAGGGAAGATGATTGTGTTACTATTGCTCCTGTGAGGTGATGTTAAACTGAGATATGTACATGAAAGATAAATTACATAAATTCTCTTACATAGACTAGGTGGGTAAAGAGGAAAGCAAAAGAGCAAAGATGAAATAGTGACTGACATGACATAGGGTTATCTATTACATAAGGGTGAGTTGTACAGTTGTATGGAGTATGATAAGAATGTAATCCTGTATCTCCTGTTTGAGTGGAGAGATTACATGCCATATGATATCATAATATGAGTTTTTTTTGGTTTTGTTTTAAATTTTTAAAAGGCATTTAGCAGTATTTTATCTTGTTTTATCTTTTTTTAAATGTATATCTCTTTATACAGGGCTGTGGATCGTGATCATCCGTTTCCAGCAGATCCGGGACTTCGGAGACCATGGGAAGGCCAACATGCTCAGTATGATTTTGGGATTCATCTCGTGTGTTGGAGTTTCAGTCCTTGGAAATTTCCAGGTACAGTAATACAAAGTCCAATAACAAACATTTTTACTCACAAATCCATTAAAGTATACAGTACTGGGACTTAATTGATTTAATGGTCTCTTTAAAATCTTTATGAATGAAAGAGGGAGGGAGAGATACTTCATTGATCCTGAGGGAAATTCAGGTTTTGCTGCAACATTTACACTGTGCTTCTTAATTGCCTTTGTTTGTTTGTTTGTTTTTAAGGCTTTGCAAACATACTTACTTCTATCTCTTTGTTTGTTATTGTCTTTAGGTTTATTAAAAAAAAATCCTCGTTATGTGACAAATGTACCTAGAAGTTAGGGGGAGTAAAGGTCCTGTGACAAGGCAGGGCAGGGTGCAGTAAGGTGGAGTGGTGGTGATAGAGATAGTGCTGAAATGTTTTCCTCATGTCCATATGAGCATTTACTGTGACATGTTTGTAAAATATGTCTCTAAAAGTGAGTATATATATATTATATGTCAAATGAAACCGTTTCACCCATTAATACTAATATAATTAATAGAAGATAGTCTCACACACAGTTTGACTACTACTGGACATAACCAACAAACTAACAGCAGACAAATAATAAAACTTAACAAACAGATGGACAGGCACTTTATTACTCCCGAGGGAAATTCAAGTTTTGCTGCAGGTAACTGTTGAAGTCGATGTTGCTGCAACATTTCCACTGCGCGCCTCACCTTTGTGTCTCAGTCAAAATTTGTGTCGGCGCAGTTTGAGGAGAGAAAGAGACAAAAGTGTCCCTCCTCTGTGTCCTGTAGTATCACAGAAGTGTCCAGGTGGCGCCAGGTGAACACAACAGGAAAGGCCTCACTCTTACTCCGCTCTCTGTGTTTCGGTCGGTGATGAAATGGTTCATTCCCTCAGAGTGTTTCCTCTGGAAGATCGTCTGCCATATTTGTTGCCACATATGGTGTAAAAAAAAACTGTAGCAACTCAAATGTCCATAGCTAGCTCTTTCGCTGCTCGCCTCTTGTATGGTCTCCATGGATATAGGAAAAACACAGCGCTCATTTCACAAAACCCAACAGTCCCGTACTTGTGTCCTTTGAACTGCACATGCTGCACTTCTCAGTTGGTTAAAATCCTATGACAGGATGCTCAAAAAACCCCAAAAGGGTTTTAAATCTGCTCAATGTGAGCCAGGTAGCCACAAAAGCAAAAAAAAAAAGTCAAAATAACAATACAACTGGTACTAATTATTGAAACTACTGAAATAAATCCATAAACCAGGTCAGCCCAACTAAACTAGGATTGTAAAAATGTCTGAGTATCACCAGAAGAACCTCCATTTGTAAATATATGACATAATCCTGTAATCTTTGGAAACAGATTTATCAGATTAATAACCCTGAATTTCCTTCAGGATAATAAAGTATTTCTAATCTAATGTTGATTTAACAGCAATCTATCCAGAGAGTGGTTCACCTGGTGGGGGCCTTCGCAGCCTTCACCCTGGGCTTGGGCTACTTCTGGGTGCAGCTGTTTCTGACCTACAGAGCCCAGCCCTCGTACGACCGGCACTGGGTGGGTCCAACCAGGGTCCTGCTCTGCTTCCTCTGCACCGTACTCATCATCACCAGTATCCTTCATACAATCAGAACATTTTAAGTAGGTAATGGATCTGTGAATGGACAACAGGTAAAAGTACCTACTACTCCTATGACTACTATTACTGCTACTACTACTACTACTACTACTACTACTACTACTACTGTTACTCCTTCTACTGACAAAACCATAATTGTGCTCCTATTTTGTTTACTCTGAGTTTTTAACACCTTCTACTGCTACTCCTACTACAGTGTTGGAATGTAATGAAGGACTAAAGTAAAAGTACAGTACTTAAGTACAATTTTTAGGTATCTTTACTTTACTTAAGTACATTTTACAGTAGATACTTTTTACTTTTACTTTACTGCATTTGAGAGCATATATCTATACTTTCAACTCCACTCCATTTTAGACCTGGACTGAAAAGTAAAAGTACTTTTCTTTATGGTTTGAAATGTTTGGTTTCTGCTGAAATCGATCATGAGACTTATTTTTAGCACATTTAATTTGAGTTCACGTCCCAACTTTGAGCGAACCGAATACACAAAAACACAGAACGGCTAGAAAAATTAACAAATTAATTGAATCACTTAAAATCTGCTAAACTTATGATCAAAATCATTACATTTCATCCTTAAATTGTTCTAAAACTCTCTGCAAAGTACTTTTACTTTTTACTCTTTAAGTACATTTTTAAACAGGTACTTTGACACTTTTAGTAGAGTTTTTGATGTGATACTTTTCCTTTTACTTGAGTAACTTTTTGTCCCTGTATCTGTACTTTTACTTAAGTAACAAAATTAAGTTCTTCATCCACCACCGCTGCTAATGCATGTTCTCTTCTTCTTCTTCTTCTTCTTCTTCTACTACTACTACTACTACTACTACTACTACTACTACTACTACTACTACTACTACTACTACTACTACTACTACTACTACTACTACTACTACTACTGACAAAACCATTATAGTGCTCCTATTTTGTTTACTCTGACTTTTTAACACCTAATATGATTATATATGTGTCAGTATTCAAACACAGCCTCACATCCAGCCTGTACTTTCCCCAACATTTTTTATCAGTACATGTACTTTGTATGTCCTTGACCGTGAGCCCAGTGGTTGTTCTGGCAAACACGGGTCATCGCTCTGGTGCAGCCATGTGTGAGTGGGCCCTGGTCATGCTCTTCTTCTGCCTCTTCGGTCTGTTTGGTGCAGAGTTCAGACACATGGACTGTCACCACCTCACAGTGCAGAGACGTGTCCTGAAGCCCAAGCCTACCTCCATGTTTGTGGTGTCCAACCACCACCTCACCCCCGTTCACATCAGCTGAACGCTCCTGGTGCTTCTGAGCAGTTTGAAAAGGTCTACTGTGGAGTTATTTTTATTTTTTGGGAAGTACTTTCTTTAATTTTGTATTTTGTGTCTTCTTGTATGCAAAAGAAGAAACGTCTTTCCTACACCTTAATGTATATAAAAGTACTGTAAACATTACCTCATTATTTCATTTTGTAACTCCTGTATCATTTGTATTTAAATGTATTTATCTATAACAATGGTATGAATATTTAAATGTTATTACCTGAAACATCTATAATATCTCCGAATGAACACATGGGGGCACCATTCCTCTGTCTAAAGTGCTTTGAATAACTTTGCACATTTTTTTTTCTGTTCTAAGTAAAAATGTTTTCAGTTACATTGTCACATTGCTGGTGTTTTTTCTGCAGACTGCCATGCGTGGATAGAGTCGCAGAATGTATTGCTTCATTAAAGCTTTAGCCATTAGCTGAAGTAAAACAGTTTTTCCTGTTCCAATTAATTCCTTAAGTAATGCTAATGCTTCTTAACTTTTACGTAACATAAAGTCTGATAAAATATATAGCATAGAGCGTTTATGAGAACAGAAGGATAAAACTATACATGAACGATAAGCTCTATTAAAAGTCCACTTGAAACTTTTCGAGTGGAGAGTTGCCTGTATTAATTGAGATGGTATTTCCTTCAGTAAGGCAGCAAATCTGGTTGTCTCTAAGGAGATAAACAAGTGACACCACCATGTCAAGTCACAGGTCAGATCTGTGGAGAGATGACCCCCACTTACAATAAGAACATGTAGCCTATTTTTGTGCAATAAACATACTAACAGTTGAATAAATGTAGGACAAAAAGTTTAATCCCATGCTTTGGAAAACTTAAAGACAAAGCGAAGCAGGTGACACATCCTCCATCAAAAAAGTTACATAGTACATCTTTAAAGTGTCCATATTGCACTATTTTATAATGTCATAATGTTGTGTTTTGTTTCATTCACACAACACACAAACCCTGCACATTTAGGCTGACGTCTCTTATAAAGAAAACACTTCCACCTTTTGATGTCATATTGTAACACAGGAAGAGCTCCACTGTGTTTTTAAACTCCCCACACCTTCAATAGCATCATGTGGATAATTGGAGCCCTGGAACTGCCAATCTCTATTGAACAAAAGGTAAAAAGTAACTTGAAAACTACCGCTTCATGACATCACAAGGTGGAACGGTGCATTTTGAGTTTTGGAGATGTAACGAGATTACTGCAGGATTACTTGAACCTGTAAAAATGAAACAAAACACGGCTCCAAGTTTGTTTTTGAGGAGGTAACAACTTTCTAACATGACGTAAAGCTCACAAGAGTCAATTTTGTGTAATATATGAGCTTTAATTAAAATAAAAGTAATACAAAAGTTACTACTACAATCCATCTGCAGTACACAAACACACAAAACACAAAATGAAGTCATAGCCAGTGCACTGCGGCTGAATGCCAGGAACAGTCTTATTTCCCACGCCCCTCCACCTGCCAGCTGGGGAGCCCCGCACAATACTCCAGCGCGCGAGATTTTCCCTCACTGCAGTACTGTAATCCAGCTGTGACCAATGTGTTTCCAGTGCTTCAGATGTGCTGTACCTCAGTGTTGAGTGTGGGGGCGCTGTGGAGTCAGTGGAGAGCGACAGCGATGGGAATAGAGCAGTTCTGGTATCGTGCCAGTGTGTTCTTGGAAGATGCCAGTAGTTTAGACAGACCTTCTACAATGAGTGCAGTTTGTCAGTTTTTTTTTAGATGGACTGAACAATGAAACTCACATAACTGCACTGACACGTGGAAGAGGTCTCTCTCCAGGACTGTTTAGACCATCCCAGTCCTGTTTATGTCAAAGTATTGGCAAATTCAGTGGAACGCAATATAGACTATAGTAAAAGTAGTAAAGTAATGTTCTTAAGTTTAAAATGATCTACATGTGCTTTACTTAAGTAGATTTTAAAGTGACTACTTTTAACTTTTACTTTACTACACTTGAGAGCAGGTATCGCTACTTTCTGCATCACTAAAGTATTATTATTTTTTTAAATGTATTTTAGTATTTTAGTTTGAAAGTATTTTAGTATGAAAGTGGTGTGCGTGTGAGTGATGGTAGTAGTTGGAGGTAGCCTGATTCGTAGCTGGTTTCACTTCGTGGAAACCATCTGACCTCGCAGCATTAGGACTCGTTCGCTCGACGGTAGGCAGGTAGCCTACTTTTTTTTATTTAACCAGTTGCTGCTATTTGCCCATGACATATGTAATACCCCACTAAAGGGGGTAACTGGTATATTAAGCTTTTCCCAAATCCTGTAGGAAGAAGAGCAAAAATGTCTTTCCCCTTGATAAAATTCACCAAACATTCTCTTTGTTCCGGCTTTAAAGCCTCGATCTTCAGAATCGTTGTCAACACAGAATATATGGCTCTTCTCTGATTGGCTGGTGCCCGAACTCGCACTTCCGGGGTTCTTGTAAACCATCTAGTGTATCCTTATTCCTGACCTAGTCGCTGGAGAGAAAAGAAATTGAGTGGCAACACTAGGTGGCACCAGCCTGGCTGATGGCACAGATTGGCAAGGCAGCTGTGGCTACAATAGTAGTTTACCACCACCAAGAGTGGAGTGCGTGAGTAATGTTCTGTAAAGTGACCTTGAGTGTCCAGAAAAACGCTTTATAAACTGATGCATTATTATTGTTCATTATTATTTTTTATGATGTCTGAGAGCTGCTGAAAAGGCTGGGGGTTTATTTTTAACACATTCAGTCTGAGCAAACAAAAATATACAAATAAAAACAGTTAAGAAAAAATGTCTGATTCAGTTTTTCTTTTGAACAAAATTCAGCACAAATCTTGACCAAAAGCAAGACATTTGAAGCCTCGTGAGACTTAAAAATCTGTGCAAAATAATTTATCTTTTTACTCTTTAAGTACATGAACTCCTCAAGTACATAAACAGGTATTTTAAATAAATTTTTTCATGCAATTCTTTTACTTATGGTTTGAGTAATTCTTCCACTGTATCTGTACTTTTACTCAAGTAACGAAATGGAATACTTCTTCCCCTCGAATTTGAGCTTTTGGGATCTTGTCAGAAAATCCAGACTCATGGTTTGAGTGAGTTTGGGGAATAGTGGTCTCAGGCGTCGGCAGCATTCTTTCACATAGACACTGTAGGGGGCAGTTAGATCAGACAGTGGAATCTGATGGGGATTTTTCAAGTGCATTTAGGTCCTTCTTCTTCTGACACTGCTTTAAAATAGTCATATTGAGCATGCCTACTGCAAGTACAGAGATGTCTACAGATGCAGAAAATATGTGTGATGAAAGTTGATTAATACTTCGCTCTGATCCAATAATATGGTGATGAAACTCAAATAATTTATTACTATTTGGAAACAGTGCCATCAATCAGCACAAACAGGATTTCATGTGTAGTTCAGGACTATTTATCTTACAGATTTTTCCACTTTGAACACATGGCAGAGTGGCTAGAGCGGCTGCCTTTGAACAAATTAAAGATGCACTATGTAACTTCTCTGGTGTGGAGACCATACCTGCTTGTTTCAGTGGAGATGTTACAGCTTTGCCCGGGGCAGCTGTAATGCAAAATTGTGCAGGCAGGCAAAGCAATAAGAAAGTTTTAGAACACCACACTTTCCAGTTTTTTACTGTTTACTGTTGACCAAAACATATTCTAAACTTTTGATTCATCAAAGTAGCCACCTTTGGCAGATATAACAGCTGAACACACTCTTGGCATTCTTTTTACAATGTGTAAAAAATCCCTCAGTCCTCCAGGTAGAATCCATAAAAAAAGGAGAAATTCTATTTGTCAACTGGACAAAGTTTATTTGGTCAAATACGTTTCACAGCTCATCCAGGCTGCTTCTTCAGTTCTGGTCAGAATGCTGGTGCTTACTTCATTATATTTGCCTGAAAGGAGGAGCTAACTACAGTGAAACTACTCTGAAACTAACCTGACGTGGGGTAGTCAGGTCCAGAGTTGTGAAAGCTCCATTATGGCCCTGAATGGTTATGCTAATATGACCCACACTCAGTGCAGTTCAATAGGCCTAAGAGAAACTGTGAACAAGTAAGGTGTTAGTTTCAGAGTAGTTTCATTATAGTTAGCTTCTCCTGGCAGGCAGATATAGGGAAGTTCACACCAGCATTCTGACCAGAACTAAAAAAGACCAAATAAACTGTCCTATTGACAAACTGCATTTCTGTTTTGCCTTCCTTTTACAATAGAAATCAAATATTCGTAAGAAAGTTCTTCCCGAGTCTGTTGCAGAAGTTTCCATAAATGTGTGGCACTTTTAGGTTTCTTGGCTTTCACTCTTCTGTCCAGTTCATCTCAAGTCTGGAGAATGTGCTTGTCACTCCATGTTTTCAAGCTGCCATCTTGTTATTTTTTTCCTGAAGTAGGTAGCAGAGCTTGGACTTGTGTTTTGTTATCTTTTATCTTTTTTTAACCTCTGGGTGTTCAGTATTTACCTTTGTACCATTTCAAGCTCTTCATTGGACTTGCACGACTTGAATTGCAATAAATAACTGGAAAAATTAGGGTGTTCTAAAACTTTTTATTGGTAGTGTATCTCTGTGGAAACAAGCAGATAGTTTTCAACCTAACAGAAAATGTACCCGCATTATCAGACACTTTCCTATATTACGCAACATGGCTTGAGCTTTAAGCCATGTTATAATGTTGTTACCTCCTCAAAAACATATCTGGAGTTGTGTTTTGTTTCATTCCCACATGTCTGAGTAATCCTTTATTTTCAGTCTCTCATCTCCAAAGCTCAAAATGCTCTGTTTTGTCTTATGATGTCATGAAGCTGTAGTTTTCATGTTAACAGTGTCATTTTATCTTTTGTTTTAGGTAATTCCCAAGCTGAAATTATCCAAATTATTCTAGTGAAGGTTTATATCAGTAATTAGAGATAGAGGTTCTGCCAACAAGATAAAGATACTGAGTCATCAAGCAGAAGTT